GATTTTTGCTTATGGTTCAACCCATCCATTCGTTGCTGGTTATGTGAGTGGTCGAAATCTTCCTCCTCGTTCCTCCTTTGTTTGTGTGTCATTGTAGGTTTTGTCTTTGCTATGTAAGATCCTCCTTCTGCTTTTGTTGATGACTTCTTTCTCTTTTCCTCCTTTATTGTTGCTAATTCAAGTTTGGGGGCCTCAAGCTTTTATGCCTTTATTAAATTTGTGTGTGTGCATGTGGGTGGGAATTAATTGTTATGAAACTAATCCTTCCTTTCAATTTTCATGTACTGTGCGAATGTATGGATGGTAGAGGTATAAGCAAGATAGATTTATTCAAGCATTGGCATTGTAGAATTGTTGGGAGAAATTATTGGGATGAAATTTAAAGAGAAGAGGCTAGTATTAAAATTTAAAAATTCATGTTTGCAATGTATTTGATGAAATGCCTATTAGGAAGGTTTGCTTGATTATGCATTGGTAACTCTTAATCCCACAAGAAGCATGAAATAGCTTGGGTGTTATTTATTTGTAAATCTAAATTGAGTTTTTGTGAAGGAATTTATTTAAAAAGTTATTGAGATCCTAAGTGAAGTTTGAATTATTGAAAGTTATATGACTAATAATTTATAAGATATAATATTATTTTAGAAGTCATATTTAGATGCCTGAAAATTGTTAAAAATTACTACAAGAAAATGTGTTGTGCCTATATAAATTCTATTATGTTAGTTTATTTCTTATGAATTAAATTATTGTGACATTATTATTAGTTTATTTTCTATACGCTAGTGGAGTGCTGATAAAAGCCTAAGGCACCCAATAGACATTGCATGCGACTTTATTTTATTTAAATAATAATATTTTTTTATATTTTTAATTGTAAATTTATTAAAAAGTTCAACTTTAAAGGAAGATTTTGCCGAAATTTTTTTAAAAATTATTATTTTGCCCCTTCTTCTATATAGAAAGGGTCAACCAATATAAAGTATGCTTCCCTCATACTTATTAGATAGGAGGGAAGCCAACTCTAAAAGAATATTATCAAAAAGTTAAAAATTTTCAACTTGAATTGGAAATTATTGTGTTAACATGCTTGTTTCTTATTTTTTTTAACACATAACTTGTTGTTTGGCCCTAGCCTAATGATTTAGTGATAATTCATGAACTCTATTATGTTTTAGGAAGCAAATTAAACATGAATCATAGTTGAATAGATGCCAACCGAACAAGCCTAAAGCATGCTAATGGGATTAATGAGTTTCTAAAATTTGCTCAAAGTAATGTTGAAGATAATAGTGAGAGGTTTTATTATCCCTATAGGGACAATTTGAATGAGAGGCGACTAAGTATAAATAAGATATATGAACACTTAATTTGTGAGAAATTTCTCAAAAGTTATAGAATATGGATATGACATGGTAAAAGACTGAATATGATGATGCCGAGTACATCTCAATTGTGGGATGTTGATATTGTTGTTCACGATGACGACGACAAGGTTGATCGATTGGAGGACATGGTCTGTTACATGGGTAAGTAGGCTTTTGATCAATCTCAAGCATACAATATTATGTGCAGTGATGCAGAGACACCTTTTGTATTTAAGATGTGAGGAATTTAGTTTGTTGAAAGTAGAATTGGAGTTGGTAAACTTAAAAGCTAGATTCAGGTGGAGCAATAAGAGTTTCACAAAAATGCTCGAGTTGTTCAAACTAATGATTTTGAAAGAAAATGTGTCGTTGGTTTATTATGAGGCAAAGAAAATTCTATGCACACTAGACATGGAATTCAAAAAAATACAGGATGCTCAGATGACTGCATACTGTACAGGAAAGAGCATGAAGAGGAGCAAATTAAAAATGTCCGGTATGATTTATAAATTGTTTATTTCTTGTGTTTTATTGAAATTAGAACATGCTTTATATATTAGTTATATTACTGATTATTTTTACCTATTGTCTAAACAAGAACATGGAGGATCGAAGTGTTAATTAGGACCAGTCTCACCCTTCTACTCTGATTGTGTCTACCAATGGTAATGATAGTGTGCCCATTAGTTCCCAAACTGTGGGTAGCAGCAACCGGTCTACACGATCTATGAGACCTAAAAGTGGGCCGTGATTAAGAGAGTTAGCTTTGAATCGAAATATTAGTGTAACTTTTCAAAATTGAATTTTTCAAATATGCATAAAAGATGATGTAGTGAAAGAGATTACAAATACTTTAGTTGTACTTAATTGAATAATAAAAAGTTACGCAAACTCTACATTAAAATACATGATTTATTTATTATTGCCAACAAGCTACGTGCTACCATTTAATTGAAAGTTTAGTTTTTGTTTTTACCAGCATATGCATACATAGTTGAAATAAGCGGCCGAGAAAATTTCGTTGGAAAATTTAAATAAATTAATGAATAAAAACATAAACAATGTGAATAAGAGGGGGGTTGGTCGGTAAAAAACACAGGGGGGTAAAAATTAAAACAAAATAATGATGATACACGAGATTCTTAAAAGATTTTCCGGTTGTACAATGTAGTTTATGATGTTACGTTATTTATTCTTATTAGTTACTTCTCGGGCGATTAGCTATATAAGCAGGTCCTTCACTCGAGTGTCTTTAATTATATATTTATTCTGCATGCCCATCTGTCCATGGCGGCCTAGTGCCAGTGATGAAGATGATGGCGTTCAACGACCCTTCAAAGCCGCATAAGTAATGAATATGAATAGGGCGCTCCTTTTATTTTTATTTTTATTTTTATTTTTAGGTTTAGGTTTGGTATGATCTATCATACATGCGTGACGTGGATCGTTGCCTATTAGTTAAGGTTTCAGCTTCAGCTGGTATGATTTATGAATGTCTGTTGGTTGCTTCCTCTCGACTTATTAATTAGCTTTTTTGGCCCACCAAGTCCCAGCCAATGCTCATGATCAGAGTCAGTTAATATAAGTATTTATAATCTGTTGGTAATTATATATATTGTTGTAACCAAGTTTGTTAGCCTGTTGAGATCGTACACGTGTGTATATCTAGCTCACACGCATCATAAATATTGTATCATACATTCATAATAATGAGATTTACCTTTACCCTTTCATTTCCTCTCACTCTCATTCCATACACATCCTAATATTCATAGCGTATAAGAACAGTGTGATTAATATATTCGATTATATGCAAAACTCCCGGTGCATGATTCTCTTCAGAATTCCAAACGGGTGGGCATTGTCAGATACATTGTGATGTTGATGACAAGAAACAGAAATAAAAAGGGACACTAAAAGAATATTTACGTGTAATTATACCCATTATTCTCTAAATCAATCACTAGGAATAATCGTGCATGTTGCTGTCAAACTATTCGTGATGATTCTGCCCCTGGTTTTAATTGGAAATTGGAAACATGAAACCCAATCCACACATATAGATCTTCCCTTTTGGTTTATAGTTTCTTTTAAAGTCAAGGGCATGATTAGACGGATTTTAGAGGAGCTAAATTCATAATCCGGCGATGGAGTTTCCGAATAATTAAACTGCACTCCAACTCATATACAACTAGTTCTAAATTGAGATTGATTTATATACAGACAGCTTACTCGGTGGGATAGTGTGACCGTAAAGATCATCCAACGGAAATTTACTATTATTTTTTTACCCTTTAAAGCCAGATTGATGTTAATTATATCGTGTAACAAAGCTTCCAAAATGAAGAGATGATATCGATAACCAGGGGAGTTCCATTTTAGAAGCTTAATTAAGCCAGACAGCCATCTCTTCAAGCAATTCAATAATAGAAAATAGTGGATAACATTTGAAACATTTCCTAAATCTTAACATTCTGCCATTAAACAAGAAAAATATCCAACCCAACCTTGAATGTGGGGTATTAAACATGGCTCTAAATTATGATTACAATTTGTGAATTTCAGTAAAGTTTATGTTTTGAAAGAAAGAAGAAAACAAATGTTTTGCATTTTATGAAAAATAATAAAATGATGAAAATAGTTTTTGTAGAAAAAATCATAAAAATTCACACATCTTAATTTAAGAGAATTTAAACCTTCAACTAAAGCAGGGATCGCTGGCTAGAAAAATAAAAAGAATAAAGCACGGGTCATTTTAAATGGGCAAATTTATGAATAGTTATTTTCCGCCACGAATTACGTTGTGTGTGTGTTCTTAAATGATTCTTGTTTTCCAATGCCCACCGTCAATTTCCGGGAACGCTATTACTGTCTCGCCGTTGGTATTTTTGAAGCTCTTGTCGACAAGGCAGCATGAAATCTGAAGGAATCAATAGTACGGTACCATGTATTCTCGAAATTTGGGTCGCTGTGTAGTCTCAATTTCAGTCTCCGATAATTTGTCGAAGCGAGAAATTAAAGAAGGAGTATTCCAGAGAGACACACAGAGCACGTACGACGCGAGATAAATTTAAAATGATCGTCGGTTTCTCGTAAAAAATGCGGTCGTTGGCGATTTGATTTCCAATCATACAGTGGTTTGGATTTGGTGATTCTGTTGCACGGGCAATATGTCACCATGCCCCCCAGTTGACAATAAATGGTTTCCGCTCGATTCAATTATTTGCTTCACGAATAAGCGAATCAAAACTTCCTTTTTTCTTAAAAAAGAAATTACGTGATAATTTATTGCATCGCACCATACGTAATAACGGAAGAGATCAAATTTAATTCCAACCGACGTAACAATGATTAATAATTAATAATTCACATATACGGGATAACAGTGGGCTGCCTTCCACAATTGAATATTCCCTTTTTTCTTCAATGATTTTTTTTTTATTTGAGCATTTGTTTAATGCTTACTTTCCGGGGTCCAGCAACTGAATTAGAAGGAGAAAACAAAACATCTGAAGCATCCTTATTTGACACGTAATACGTAATTCCATTCGAGATTTGTGACGCATATATATATATATATATATATATCGGAGGTACATGCTTTCAGCCACCACACATTGCACAACAATCGCATTTTGCCAAGTAAAATATTAATATTTTGCATAACCAGTTATATCGGAGGGTCGATGGAGACAGCATTATAATTAGATTTATAGAAAGGGGGGAAAACAAGAAAAAGAGAGACATTTTCGAGTTCAGCAGAAAGGCCCTTCCTCTTGGATTCTGCGCAATAGCTGATTCACAGCAGCAGCGATTTCATCCACCGTATTCAGCTCGCACCCATCTTCAAGCTGTTTTCGCCAAATCACGAGTATGAAATTGTAAGTTTCAATATTATATTAAAACCGAAGAGAAACGAGAAGAAGAGAGCGTATTCAAAGCGGGGAAAAATCTCTCAAATTATGGCAAACTATAATAATAAATAAAGATGGAGAAAATGGAAGCGACCTTGACACTAGCAGAGTAAAGGACCATGTCGTCGTGAGTAGTCACGTTGAGGTGGAGAACGGTGAGCCTGAGAGCTTGAAGGCCGACGACGATCTTGGTGAGCTGGCCGGAACGTTTCTTGGAGAGTATCTTGAGGTTGGCATGAGTGTCGACCATGGTGACTTCAATGTCCGCTACGGCCCATTGCCCGGAGGAGGGATTGCTCTGATTTGAGTGAGTGGAGTACTGTGGGAACGTGAAGAACTCGGCAAAGGGCGAGCTGCTCGTCCCGCAATCCTTCTCTTGTTGCATCGTCTTCTTCTTTCGTCCCTCCATTGACTGCAACAGCTGCTCTAGCTCTTTCACGAAGTTAATGGCGCCTCCTATTATAGACGCCTGGTCCCCCTGTTTCGGCCCACAGAAACAAAAACCATGTTCTACGTCGGTAATAATATCATAATTAATTAGGGCCTCATTCTTGACTCGAAAATTCAGAACCAAATTATTACAAATAGGAGGGGCTGTACTTAGCAGAGGAAAAAGGGGTTCGAGTTTTGAACTGACCCTTTGAACGTAAGACGGAGGCATCAAGGAACGAAGCGCCGCGAGGTAGTCATTCATCTGTCTCCGTCGATTGCGCTCCACAGCAATGTGAGTCATCCTCTGGCTCTCGAGGTCCTCCTTGTTCTTGGCAATCTTGGAGCGACGTCGTTTACGCCGACCTGAGGGAGCAGGGGAGATCAGTGATTGGTGGACGGTGCAGGCATCCGGGGAAGAGTTAGAGTCCCAAGTTGCATGGAGTTGTGTGGGCACTATGTCACTGTTGATAAGCACTCCGAAGGGGGCCTTCTCTTCTCCTGCATGGAAACCATGGTCGTCGGGTTTCCATGCTGCTGCGAACGAGTATGGGTCCTTGCACCAACTATACGGGAAGGGATCCTGCGAGAAAACTACAGCCTCTAGTGCCATTATTGTTTACCGGATCAGACTTTGCTATATGGCTCCCCCTGTTACTCGCGAAGGACAAGCTATTGTTTTCCGCAAACAAGGTACTGAGAGAAAGAGAGATGCCCGAGGGTAGGGCTGATGAAGGGATGCTAGCTGTAGAGGAAGAGATAGGGGAAGGAAAAGAAGAAGCTCGGGAAGGTGGTAGTGTAAGCTCAGCTCGAGCGCAATGCATTCACAAATAGTCCAAGAAACTGGCCTTTTATCATCGGCCCGAGGAAGAAAGTCTTGCAACTTGACGCAGGATATTCAAGCAAACAAAAATGCTACAGCAGCTTGCACGTGAGGTTTCTTCGTAGACCACTTCCTTGACCGCCCACGAGCCGCTCCTGATTCACAACTCGCAAACCACAAGAGCAGATACATAGATATAGAGAGAGATAGGCACGCATGCACAGGATTCAATTGTCACTTATTGCAAACGAATTTTATAAAATATCACACTTTATGAACTAACAAATAGGATTTTGCTTGTTTTCTTTACACAAGTGTCAATAAGATACACGCGCAAAATCTCGATTCGTGAACACTGTATCTTACCCTCCAACGCTTACAAAATTAGATCGAGCGGAATATATTCTTGCATCCAAGAAATGCATTCTAATAAGGTGTGAAAGCTTACAAATACAAATAAATGAATAATGGTTGGTTGGCGAGGGGGCCAGAAACAACAGCCTTCGCGTATTGTATCAGATGCCAATTTCGTGAACGAAGCAGGGTCTGCATCGCGAGGTACGAGGACAGTCATCTCCCTTGTCCACATGTGTTTACTAAGTTCAGTTCAAGGGCAGAATGGTCCTTTAACTGTCGGAAAATACTTTCTTGCAATATTATATATATAGGGCTGTTAGTTGTAATGGAATATGGAGCGGGGGTGGGTGGCTTCATTTGGCAATAATTTGGTCGGACACATGGACATGAAAAGGAGAAAGGTGACGAAAAGCTGGAAATAACTGAGAGATTCTCAGAAAAATCCATAGCAGCTGGGAAAGGGATTAAAAAAAAAAAAAGGAGTAGAAGATAAAAGGAAGGAAAGAACAACGACCAAACAGGCGAGCTGAGGACGCGAGGACAAGGTCAGACAGCAGAGGAATCCATGTGACCACACAAACAGCCACTCTGTATGCATCTGCCATCCACACCATGCCTCTCTCTCCCCCCTCTCGCTTCCCTAGTTGCACTTTCCGAGGCTCCGATGCTGTGCTCTTCCCCCCTGTTTTATTTCTCCCAAAATCTTTAATTTCCCTCTTTTTACATCATTAAACAAATGAGTCTAATGATTTTTAACTGTTTAAATTTTTGTCATTAGTCCTGCTTCGTTTCGCTTCTGGCCTTCCCCCTCTACAATTATGATTTTTGCGATGTTTAGAAACTCCTCCACGGGAAGTAATTTGAGGAGAATTTTTTCTTTTTGTAATTTATATATGGTAGGATATTAAAAGAGTCGAGTGTAATCAACCAGCGTCTCATGAGATATATTTTAGCACGACTTCCCCGGAGGAAAAAAACTAGTTTTTTCACCTTCATATATTTTGCTCTCGATATATGCCAGAGACGAACAGACTTGGCGGCACTGCTATACTTGAGTATCAACAATTTGACCACATCTCGATGAGACATTCTCTAGGCTTTCTTCCCTTTTCTCTTGGTTCTCTCCATGTCCAGTGGAGCATTGCTAACATCATAAGATGTATTTTTGTATATCATTAATCTAATCAGCTTTTCAATTATTATTCCCCAACTTATCATTAATAGTTGCGCTGCCAATACTCTCTTATCTGAGACTAGAAAATGATTAATCAAGGAAAGAAAATCCAAACCCAACTGGCACTACTTGGAATGTATCCGCAAAAATTGTAATTTAAGAGATTCGACGACTGAAATTAAGTCTCAATGACAGGGCAACCTTGATTGATTGATATCTACGTCTACTAGCTACCCCTCTAAACTCCATTATCTATCAGATTTGTTTACGTAAAGCCGATAGTTTACGACACATTTTAATTGTTAACTGTGTTGAGTATCGTATTACGCTAGCCAGCGCGTATCGTGTCCCCCTTATTCTACATTAATTCTTCCTCTCACCATCCATCTTCCGTCCCATGATAGCATCTTATCTAAATTAATTAATTTTATGTAAGATGCATGCATCGCCAAATAATTAATTATTATCCATTATCCCCTGCATATAAACTAAGCTATACCTTTCCATATCGAACTCATTTTGGGGCAGATGTGCATTCGCGGGCTTATTTTTTATCAACCTGTCCCTGCATGACGAGGGAATGGTCCACATGAAAGAGTTGTGTGTCTTGTAAATATTTCTAGTGGCTAGGAAGTTAATTTTTACTTTTAAATTTTAAAATACAGTGTTTACTAGATTCTTTTCCATCTTTTAAATTAAGCAACGAATAAGATTAAATCATTCGTATCTTAAATCGATGCACTGTGTTAAAGAAGATGTTAAAAGACACATGACATGTAAATGAGATGGGAGGGAGTATAAAATTTAGGTGGACATGAAACTTGGTTTGGTAAAAAATTGGATAGAGGTCAAAGTATAAGCACTGCATGCCAAGTAATAAAACGTGATGAGGAAGAAAGTAGGATATAGCAATTAGCAAAGAGTGATAGAGGGTAGAGTAGAGGGGCCGATCGAGGCAGGGGAGGCACGCCATGGAAGGAGTTTGTCCGAATGTAGAAGTGGGGTTGCAGCTAATGAAAACAAGAGCAGTCCAGATTTCTGTGCAATCAAAGCGTCATTATTCTGGTGGCCAGTGATTAAAATAGTAATTAGGCTGCATGTGCTTCAACCGCAAAACACGCTTCCACACAGCATTCTAACCGAGTATAATCGGCCTTTTTACTAATTATTTCATAATTAATAGATTAATACTTGTAGTGACATTACGGTTTGGTCATTGGCCAAGCCCTGGTCTCAGATAGATGGTTTTTATTAAATAAATGAGCCAACAGCTCTGTCGTCCAGAAACTAAAGCCTCAAATTCTGGGAACCCATTTCTTGTTTTATACCTAGATGCTGGCGTTTGCGGTGCACAATCTCCTGATCACATCAGGTTGTGGCTGTGCTCTCGTGTCAGAAACGCATTCAAGCAGGCTTCCGCTGTTCACCAATCGTGAATGGCATGGTTAACGCTGGTTCTAAAGCAAATACGGTGGCTGGTCAAAAAAACAAACAAACAAACAACACAAGTACGGCAGTAGTCTCTTTTAAGTTTTAAGACTGGCTGTTGTGTGTGTACACAGTTTTGAGTGAATGTATGCAAGGTGTGTTTAATGGTATATTTGGTACTTTATATTTTTATTTTAAAAAAACAAAATTATAAAGTGTGTTTAACCAACTTTACTGGCATGCGTAAATTCATCTAAATCTATCTTATAAATTCAGAGGGAGGGAGTATAATTTTTCCATGGTAGTGAACAATACGACTTTTTTCTAGATTTTATATTACATGAGTTCTTATTCACGCTGGACAAATAAATAACTATTTTTATATAATATATAGTACAGTGTTTAATTGTTAAAAAAAATGCACAGGAGGCTCCACTGGAAAATGGTAGGGTATGGGATGACGAACTTTAAAGTTGAAACTTGGCATTCACTCGCCACATAATTATGGAAGAAAAGGGCGTGGTTAAGTCTGAGAAAAGCCGATGAGAAGGTAGGTGGCTTGGAGTTAAGCAGCTACGTATAGGCCCTCCAACTTGGCCCCTTAGGGGCAGCTGGAGCTTTCTGATTAAGTAGCGTGTCGCGAGAGGGAATTTACGTGATAACCAATAATTAGATGTCATTAGAATACATTTAGAGTTTGATTGGTTTGGTTTTCTATATTTTTTTATTTTTAAAGAGAATTTTATAAACTATTTTCAAAATAAAATAAAAATATATTTGATTATATTAATTTAAAAATAATTTTAAAGTTAAAAAACGATGAATACTGGCAGCCATCAATGTTAAAAGATAATGGCCTCTAATAATAAATCATGGCTGAAAGTAATTTTTAATAATTAATTGTAGCATGTTTAAAGAAATGAGAACTAAAATGTTTCATTTAAAAACATGATGATGATAAATTTTTTTATTTATTTATCAAAACAGGAATTGAACACGCACTTAATTAATCCACCATGCAGTCTGCAGCTCTCTGTCATGCTGGGAGGCTTGGAAAATGGGGAGGCATATTGCGGGAGCGAAAAGTGTTTGATGGTAGACACAAGAATTACTAAAACATTCGAGATTTTAATGAAAGGGTGCTTAGCGGATCACAGAACGAGAGGGGAGGCCACTTGGGCTAAGGTCTAAGATCCGTACGAGTTGTTTTTGTGCGAAGTCCAAAGAGGTGGCGTCCACTGAAGAAGGAATCGAGGCCGCTGCTTGGTGCTTGCATGGACGCAATGATCGTGTAAGAAAACTTAAAGTTGACGACTCAGATGAAGTCAGAGAGTGCGTAGGAACAAGGTCATCTTCCCTTTACCGTCCCCATCGATGAGTTGGAAAACAAGATCACTACATGATGGGAGGCGTTGAATTGGGTATTAATCATTTCTCCTGATTTAAATATAAATACTTTTAATGATAATTCATACATTAATAAAAAGAAAATTTACTCTCGTGAAAATATACATCATTTTTTTATTATTAGCTTTAATTTATTATAAGTTAAAAAATATCATGAATTTAAATTGATAAATATAGTGGAAAAATTTACAAATACCAAACTGTTTGTAGTATCGCAGACAAATAGAAAAAAATATATTTTGGATGGGGGAGGAAGCAAGTGCGTGTTTGATGAGGGAGCAGTGAATGGCTTTGCAGCCACAGGGAGTCGTTGCAACTTGAATGAGTGGGTCCCATAGGAGTAGCTGGGAGCTGCGCCTCGTCCTCCCGCGTGGAGTGAAATGAGTGAGTCATGCACAATGCGCTCCCAACAAAGCCGGATGAAACCTGTGCCGCTGGCAGGGGAGCATCATTGCCGTCCGCAAATCCAGCGGAAACGACCATTGCCTTGCCGCCTCAAAATGGGTTCGCACCCTCTCAAGTTTCACCCTGCTCAGCGTCTCTCGGGGCAGTCAGAAATCCAAGCCTTTTAATTCATGTTCAATATTCCATGCCTTGCGATATCATCTTATGTTAAAATAATTTTTCATACTTTATTTCACTATTCTTCATGATAATAATTTACATTGATTTTTTCTTTATTATTTATATTCAAAACTTATTCTAAAAACTTACTCCATGGATTTTCGTTAAATAACTCGATTCAAAATTTGAATACCTTAGACTACATGTTCCTACAAGCTTACTTGTGTTTATGTTTTAAAAAAAGTATAATAGGCTTATGGGGACTTACAATGCAACGTATTCAAATTCTGTGCTGACTTATTTAACAAAAATATGTTTTAAAAAACTCTTAGAGTAATTTTTTTATGGGTGTGGTATGTCCAACTATCGTCACTTGTGGTACAATAGAGCTTCCAAATAAATGTATAAATTGATAACTAGGACCACCATGGTATCAGCGAGTGTCATATGAGTTTAAGTTATCCCACCTAAAATAAACTCTCACACTCACACGCAAATGATCATACTTGCACACATGTTATAACATCACGTGATAATAACTATGATCAACATGCCAGCATTATAAGTCAATTTCACAATATATATGTATATAGATAGATAAATAGATAAAAATATATAAATCTTAATTCTTTTAAAATTATGTTCCACTTCGCATTGGTTTTCAAGTCCAAACTCCCTCCCTCCCTCTCCTTCTCTCACGTTACTGTTTATTTCATAAATTTTTATAAATGATCCAACACACAAGTAAGTTGTAACACCCTAAAAAATACAAACCGATTTTTCGCAAATTATTAAAACCATTATCATGGTAGAAAATTCTCTTACCATGATACATCCAAGACAATATACCACAGGTCTTAAAATATCTCAAAAAAGCAATTAGAATCATGAGGGACAGTCAGGATCCTCATGGCATGATATTTAAATTAGGTCATGAATCAAGAGAAACAAACATAATCCTCTTGGTCAAATAAATACTTTTAATAAAAAGGATTAGAGTTTACATGCTTCACAAAGAAGATATATCCTAAATTGGCACAAGATACATTGTATAATCCAAAATAAGAGGCAACATAAAAGATGGTGTTTCATACACCATAATTACACCTCTGGTGCTTTCTCGGTCGGACTCGCTCCTGTAAAAATATTAACCACGGGGAATGAGACTTAAAAGTCCCAGTAACCAAAAATTACTATGTAATGATGCATGCGATTGTAACTAATCATGCGATTGCTAAGTGAGCACACAAAACATTTAACCGAACAATATTTTCAAACAAACCGAACAAGTATTTAATTTGCATGACTGCACCTTATATCCTCCTTTCGCCATGCTCGGACGCCAAATCACCCGGCCAAAGGTGAGTTGGACCAAGCGACACGCCACTCATTGGGTCTAATGAGGGCTTACCATGTGGTAATAATTAACCGAACAGAAATTTCCATTAACACCATACATTAAAATACCCTGACAAGTCATGCATCATTCAAATATTCAAACAGAAATATATCCGAACAATAATATCTCATCATGATAAACAAAAATAAATTTTTAACCCACTTGGCTATGATTTCACGAAAGTATATAACAGTATTTATTTTCAATAATTCATAATTTTTCCAAACAATAAAACAACACATAACCATTCACAAACACACCCATCACAACACATTAATAATGGTTACCTTGTGTCTTGAATAACAAGTTCCCCTTCACAACTCCTTTTTCACCACTATCTTTGTCAATATAATCTACATAATTATTTCACAATACTATATATTAATTTTACATTAAAATAAATAACTCTAATTTAAATAGTTAAAAAGTCTTAGATCTATAATCCATATTAACACTAATTTAAGATTTATGCCTCATTTAACTTCTCAAATTCTTTTCTAAAATTCTCGTACCCTAATAAACTATTTTTTTTATCCTCAAATCACTTCTAGTATCACAATTTCATCCTTCTATATTCTAAAAATTCGTCCAAAAATAAATTAAATTTTAAAATTATCCTGAAGCCTCAAATCACCTTTCTATAACCTCAAAAATACCTATTCATACTTAAATAAATATTTAATAATCATAGGTTTATCCCTACATCTCAGATTCCACATAAATTCAACCATATAGATCTAGATTTTAACTCAAAAATTCTTAAACATGAGTTTCAACCTCAAGAAAATATTCTATAATATTTTTTTATATCCCTAAGAATTTTAACCTATATTTTTAATCCATCATACCATCAGATTAACTATCCTATAGAAAAATTCTAATCAAAATATTTACTCTATCCTACAAAATAATCATATCACTAGAAAGCTAATATTATTTAAAAAATAACTATAAAATTAATTTTGTAATTAAATAAATTTTTAAATGCTAATCTAAACAGGAAAGTTAGAACATACCTGAAGAAAAAGAAAATAATCCCCCCTTGCGAGAAAACGCCGAGCAACGTGAGAGGAAGAGAGAAAAATAATATAAAAATGGGATTGTGAGTCCCAAAATTATATTAAAAAAAAACTATAGGTTTGAATTTAATTATTCAAACCTTTGGGCCAAAAGTTGCAATTTTCTCTAAATTGCATCTTAGCCTCTCATGCTTCCTAATGTACACACCCCCTTCTTTTTATACATGAAGGCACCTCTTCTCTTCCCTCATCTAACCAATGTGGGACTTAGAAACAACAACCTTCCACCCCCCCTTTTTTTGTTCCTTCTACCTTCTCTTTTTTTTTTCAACACATACATAAAAAAAATTATTTATGTATTATATCTTAACTAAATATTGCTTATGTGGTTTTAAATTTAAATTTTTAAATTCATAATTAAATACCTAACTATAATATTATTTCTAAATAACCTCAAATAATATAAATTCCTATTATCATCATTTTTTTCAAAACCTAAATTCCACAATTTCTTTATTATATAAAAATCAGGATGTTACAATTCTCCCATCCTTTTAGAAATTTTGTCCTCAAAATTTAATAGATAAGCATAGAAACTATGTACCTAAGCAAATAAATGTGGATAATCTCGCCTCATACTCTCCTCGGTTTCCCAAGTAGCATCACCTAGGGCTCTACCCTTTCAAATCACCTTCACAAGTCGGATGGTCTTATTGCGCAATTGTTTGTCCTTAAAGTCCTCAATTCGCTCCGGTTCGGATCTAAAAGTCAAATTCTCCCTCAATTCTACTTCTTCAGGTTCAATAACATGGGAGGGATCCGGGTTGTACTTCTTCAACTGTGATACGTGGAACACATTATGGATACCTACAATCTGTGGAGGCAATGCAACTCTATATGCAGCAGGTCCAATTCGCTCCAAGATCTCATACGGGCCCATAAATCTAGGTGTCAACTTCTTTGCCTTAATGGATCTACCAATGCCTGTCACTGGAGAAACCTTCAAAAATACATGATCTCCTACTTCAAACTCTAACGGCCGTCTCCTCTTATCAGCATAGCTCTTCTGTCGGCTCTGAGCGGTTAGCAATTTTTGCTTAATCATTGCAATCTTTTGGGTGGTCTGCTCTACAATTTCTGGACCAATGATACTCCTCTCACTTAATTCTGTCCAACACAAAGGCGATCTACACTTCCTTCCATACAAGGCCTCATAAGGCGCCATCCCAATACTAGAATGATAGCTGTTATTATAAGCAAATTCAGCTAATGGCAAATGATTATCCCAACTACCTGATAGTTCAATGGCACAAGCTCTCAACATGTCCTCCAAAGTCTGGATCGTCCTCTCTGTTTGTCCATCTGTTTGGGGGTGGTATGCGGTGCTAAAACTCAGTCTGGTACCCATAGCCTTCTGTAGCACACCCTAAAAGTTTGAAGTGAACCTTGAGTCACGATCTGACACAATTCTAGAGGGTATACCATGAAGTCTAACTATCTCCTTAATGTATATCTCAGCAAATTTCTCTAATGTAGAGGTAAACTTGATCGCCAAAAAGTGAGCTGATTTGGTGAGTCGGTCTACTATCACCCAAATAGCATCCTTACTTGAGGGTGTTCTTGGCAGTCCAGTGATGAAATCCATGGAAATATCATCCCATTTCCACTTTGGAATATCTAACGTTGCAGTGTTCCAGCTGGCTTCTGATGTTCTATCTTTATCTTCTGACACGTTAAACATCTAGAAACAAATTCAGTTACATCTTTCTTCATTCCTGGCCACCACCAACCTCGCTTCAAATCATGGTACATTTTAGTTATACCGGGATGAATTGTATATTTGCTCCTATGAGCTTCTTCTAAAAGGATATTCCTCAATCTTGGATCATTAGGTACACAAACTCTACCTTTATACTTCATCACTGTGTCCTCAGAGATGGTAAAATTTGGGGCCTTACCTACCACTATCTCCTTCCTTATATTCCTTAAGTAGTCATCACTCTGCTGTGAGACTCTGAGATCTTCCCAGAATTTGCTCTCAAAGTCTGCTACCTGGAGTGTGGCCATTTGATGTTCAATCACATCTACTGGAACATCATGAAAACTGTTCCACAAATGATATTCATGAACCATCAAATGTGCAGCATGAATAGTCTTTCTACTTAAGGCGTCAGCTACCACGTTAGCCTTACCCGGATGGTAATGTAATTCAAAGTCATAATCCTTCAGAAATTCCATCCATCGTCGCTGCCTCATATTAAGCTTTTTTTGATCCAATAAATACTTCAGGCTCTTATGGTCACTGAAGATTTGAAACTTAGATCCATACAAGTAGTGTCTCCATATCTTCAGAGCAAACACAACTGCAGCTAACTCCAAATCATGAGTAGGGTAATTTTCCTCGTGTAGTCTCAACTGTCTGGAGGAATAGGCAACCACTCGGTCATTTTGCATCAAAACACATCCTAAACCCTTTAAAGAAGCATCAGTGTACAGAGTGTACGGCACCACAGGGTCAGGAATAGTCAATACTGGAATAGTGGTTAACCTCTTTTTCAATTCTTGAAAAGCAGCTTCACATTTGTCAGTCCAAATAAATGGGGCATCCTTCTTAGTCAGCTTAGTTAAGGGCATCACAATTTGCGAAAATCCCTTAATAAAGCGACAATAATAACCTGCTAAACCTAAAAAGCTTCGTATCTCTGTAACAGATTTTGGCTGTTCCCACTTCATCACTGCATCAATCTTGCTAGGATCCACCGCAACTCCGTCTCTGGACACAACATGGCCCAAAAACTTTACTTCTTGGAGCCAAAATTCACACTTGTTTAATTTGGCATAAAGCTTATGTTCCCTCAAAACTTGCAAGACGATTCTTAAATGCTCACCATGAGCCTCCTCATCCTTTGAATAAATAAGAATGTCATCAATAAACACTACTACAAACTTATCTAAATAGGGTCGAAAGATCCTATTCATGTAATCCATGAATACCGCAGGAGCATTCGTAAGTCCAAACGGCATCACCATGAATTCATAATGCCCATATCTCGTCCGAAATGCTGTCTTAGGTATATCCTCTGCTCTCACTCTCAATTGGTGGTACCCTGACCTTAAGTCAATCTTTGAGAAAACTGCGGATCCCACAAGCTGATCCAGCAAATCATCGATTCTCGGAAGTGGATATTTGTTCTTGATGGTTACTTTGTTCAATTGTCTATAATCAATGCACAATCGAAGGCTTCCGTCCTTCTTCTTTACAAAAAGGACTGGAGATCCCCAAGGTGAAACACTCGGTCTGATGAAACCCTTCTCAAGTAGCTCTTCAATTTGCTTTTTCAGTTCCGCTAACTCTAAAGGGGACATCCGATAAGGAGCCTTAGAAATTGGCCCTGTACCGGGTACCAATTCAATTGAGAACTCTACCTCGCGCTTTGGGGGTAAACCGGAGACTTCGTCTGGAAATACATCCGCAAATTCTTTGACAATTGGGATATTCTTCACGCCTTCATCAATCTCAGCTTGGATAGAGAAGAAAACCATGTAGGCCTGGCAACCCTTCTTCATACATCTATCAACTTGCGCCGCCGATAAGAAAATATGATCTTGAGTCTCGACTGGGGTCACCGACAAAGAAGATAAAGACACACTCCTCCCTCTACAATCTAGGATAGCACCATTTGCAGCCATCCAATTCATTCCCACAATTACATCCATACCTCTCAGTGGTAGGATAATTAAGTCCATAGTTGTTTTCCTATTTTTAAACTCGACTACTAAGTTAAGGCATGCCTTAGCAGTCCTTACAGATTCTCCCACAGGAGTAGACACATTCATATCAAAAGGTAAAATACACACAGGCAAATCAAGGTTCTTTACACAAGTTTCAGAAATAAAAGAGTGTGTAGCACCCGAATCAAATAGTGCAACAATATCATGATGAAGGATTTTGATGTTACCTCTAATGGCATCTGGGGAGTTCATGGTGTCCTGAGTAAGAGCAAACACACGGCTAGAGACAGTAGGATGTTGGGAAGGGTTCTTCATATTTGAGCCCTGGTTGTCCCCACGAAACTTTGCAATGTGACCGGGTTTCCCACAAATGTAACAGACCCAGCACTGTCCGAAATGACGACGCCCGCATTTAGTGCACTGTTGAGAGCTCGCTGTACTCGGGGCAGGGGTAGATACTGTTGGGCTCCTCTGTGACCCGTGATAACTACTATGATAGCTCCTCTGTCCTTGGCCCCTTTGAAATGGACCTTTCTGTCTTCCTTGGTTCCATGAGCTACTCGAACCCTGATGGTTTTTCTTCATAATGCCTCCGGTGGGTCGAGGGTAGGTTGGGGGTCTACTATATGAATAACCCCTCTTCTCTCTCTCAACCTCCTTCTTACTGCGAGCTACTACTTGTAGTTTTATGCACATTTCATCATAATCTCAGATATCTAGATGAGCCAATTGTTCCCTCAATTCTGGTCTAGCCTTCTCCAATAAGCGCTTAGCCTTCCATTCTGAATCATCCCTATACTGCAGGTACGTGGAGTATCTAGATAACTCCTGAAACTTAGCAATGAATGTGTCCTCATCGAGGTTTCCTTGCTTAAAGGCATGGAATTCCGCTTCCTTCTCAGACCTTAACTCTGATGGAAAGTAATGCCTGAATAATTTTTCCTTGAATTCCTCCCAAGAGAGTGTAGAATCATCCCTGGGCCTTGCTGTCTCCCACCAATCTCTTGCTCCTTTCACTAGGAGCACTAATGCTACTTGTACTTTTTGATTGCTGGTGCATGTGACTACTCGAAAGATGGATTCGAGTCTCTTCACCTATTCCTCTACCACGGATGGTTTAAGGTTACCATCAAACATAGGAGGGTTAAACTTCCTAACAGTTTCCCACACATCAATAATGGTCGGTGGGGCTCTCTATTCCTCTTGCCTAATTTCCTTCCTTCTAGATTCATGATCTCTCGGAGTGGCAGGATGTGAGGAACTGCCTTCCCCCACATGACTCTCAACATGAGCCCTATCTCCATTTTAGTTACCTTTTGCCTCTTTAGCTCCGTCAACTCTTGTTCGTATCCTTGAACCTTGTCTGTTAATGTTTTTACAAGCATTCTTAATTCCGCCAAGTCAGGCTCCTCATTTGGCAGTGGCGGTGGCAGGTGCTCATGTT